GGGGCGCGGGTGACACAGCTCGGCCCCTTTGGGCTGGCTCCTTGTTACCGAGGCAGCGCCCTGAGGTCACTGGCCAAATTAGAACCTTCTTCCCCCACCCCAGAACATGCCTAGCGTGAGCATGCCATCTAGTAGGTGGCTAGGAAGGGCTTGTATTTTTAACGAGCAGGTGGTCTTTAAGAGGCTTGGTTTGGCTTTTAAAAAGCTCCTTAGGAAAATACTCTTTTTTTTTTTGAGGGGAGGGAAGTGCAACAGTCAGTCCTGGTCTGTAAATCAAGCAAGGAATTCAAAAGCATGTTCTTATTTATACAGCCAATTCTTTGCTCTAGCAGTCAGCCCCTTAATGAAAGGAGGGAATGATTAATGTCTCTCATGCAGAAAAGTTGCTTTTTGTTGCAGTGGGTTTAACAGAAATGACAGGGAAGGAGAAGCTTTTCACATTCACTATGAAAGTTCATACTAGGGCTACACTACAGAGCATGTTTGGTTAGGTGCAGTTGGTTTATCTTGGAGAGCTGGTTTAATTTAAAAAAAAAAAAACAAAACAACTTATGTTTATTGTAATTGTGAGAAAGAATACCAGTTCCAATTGGAAAATCCTTTCTCATGTCACTTTAGTTGTCAGTAGCAAAGAGATAGTCACTTTCATTTGGGTTCTTTGTGCCAGCTAGGTTACCCTTAGAAATCCATTGCACTGATCCTCTGGCCTGCAGCACTCTGGGAGATGGTGGAACTACAGCATGCATAAGGCCCTTTTAATTTGTCTTCGTGAAAAAGTACGTAAAAGGTTACTCAGCGGAGCTGCTAACTGAGCTGCTCTTAAGTTCATTTGAGTGTAATTCTTGGTTTTGGGGTGAAACGGGATGACCCTTGCCACCAAAACCACAGCTGTTTCCTCCTATGCAAATGTCCTTTTACACCAGACAGGCTGACTCCTCAGCAGAGGTGCTTCTGGGGAAGCCGACTTGCATGGAGATGGCGGAACTAAACCAGAGCTCTGGACCAGCACAAAGCCCTCTGACACTGAAACAAATTAATAGCAATACTGTTGAGCACTGTCACTGCTCTCTGCTCTGAGACTGTCTTGCTGTAGCTGCTCTGGTGTTTCAGTGCAACACGTGGGAGGGTCGTTGCATCCCGTCATGTCAAAAAAGAGTTTGGCTTGTGTGAATTAAGTTTATGAGCTGACATCACTATTCCTGATTGGAATTAAATTTATGAGCTGACATCACTGTTCCTGGTGGGTGGCTAAGTCATGCCTTCATTTACATGAATCGCATGCTCACTTAGGACTGCGTAGCAAGTGAAATGGGAAAAGCTAAATAACTCCTGGTTTGGTGCCCATATTAAGAAAAACGCCCTCACACTGGCATACAAGGTTCTCCGAACATGATTTTGTACCTGACTCAAAATAGGATTAATTTCAGTGGTTGTGTGATGTTGCCATTGCAAGGTGGGTAAATTTCAGCTCTGTAGGCTAATCTGACTCTTTCCAGTGTAGGATTTGCAGTGTTACAAGCAGAAAAGCTTAGCCAGGCCCTCCTCACACTGGCATACAAGGTTCTCCGAACATGGTTTTGTACCTGACTCAAAATAGGATTAATTTCAGTGGTTGTGTGATGTCGCCATTGCAAGGTGGGTAAATTTCAGCTCTGTAGGCTAATCTGACTCTTTCCAGTGTAGGATTCGCATTGTTACAAGCAGAAAAGCTTAGCCAGGCCCTACGTGTAAACGTGTCTTTTTTTTTTTTCCTTTTCCTGTTGAATTTTATGCTGTAAACGTGTTCTTTTGCAAAAGCAGACACTGTTGCTGATTTTTGTCATTGGCTGATTAACTCATTTATGGGAAGCTGCTGCAATTAATATTTCTAATTTCAAAGCTAGTTCTGGAATTCTGTGCTTTATGGCTAGCTCTTTCACAATGCTTGCATACATGGAATAACTTTGTGCTGGAGGCTATCAGTCCCATGATTTGCTGGGTCTTGTCCCAGTAAATGTATGTCTGATTTATATTTATTATTTCATAGCTCTTTTTCTTTGTGCTCTGACACAAGACTGTCCAGCTAGCTGTTTATTAAAGGTTGAGCATAGAGGGAATCTTCTTTGAAGTGAAAGCATTATGAAGTGAGCATTACTCCTGCTTCTGGATGGAAAACTCCCAAGATAGGCACTGTAACTGTAAATACTATGCTCTATTGCTTGTGCTGAACTACAGAGAAGGTTACTGTTGTGTTGGCGTTACAGTCCCATTCTGCCGACCTGACTCCTTCCTGGTGCCACCATTCCAGGCTCCGTATGTGGCCGGATGGCTCCCAGCCTCAGCAGATAAGGCGAAGGACAAGAGGAGGATTTGTTATCTGTGTTCCAGAGATAGACACGGAGCATAAGGAAGTGGTGACTTGTCTGGATTATCTGTGACTCCTGAGAGTGCAATTGCTGGGGCTCCCTATTCCTTTGCTAGAAGACACCCATATTCCTGTTAACTGCCTTGTGCTGCACCTGGGTTTCTGTTCTGTATTTTCATTTTTTTCTTCTCATACGTGATGGCCTTCACTGAAGGGAAAAATTCTACAGAAAAGTTTTGCATAACTCACATGCCACTGCCTGAGGTCAAGTGCCACTATAAAGACCAGAGTGTGCTCATGCTGTCTTGTAAGTGAATGTTTCCGCAATCAAAAAATTATTTCATTCCTTTTCTCTCACTTGGAGCATAAGGGTCAAACTTCTGCCTTTAAAAAAAAAATCTGGTAAGGTCCTGTACTAAAAAAGTAAGCACTTCCTATTATACACATTCAGTAGCAATATCTGTAATTCTCCAGTGTGCAAAGGTAATTCTTCCTGGCTAGCTGCTGGAAGCAGAACTGAGTTGTCAGTGAATGGTAATACAGATACTGCTTCTGGCAAAATGCCTTTCCCCTGCAGGAACAGTCGTAAGGGCTGTTATGACAGGGAAGAAGCATCCAGTTTCAAAATAATGGGCTGCTTTCCTGGAGTTGCTAAAGGAGTCCGCTGAACTTCCGGTACCTTTTGCTAGAAGTAAAACAGGGTATCTATAAAATTTTAGCCTGGTAAAGTTGAGGTCCCTGGAAATTTTAGTCCATGCTGGTATGTAATACTAACTCTTTGAAGAAAGCACGCTTCTACTTTCTTTTTCAACAGTGGTGTTTCTTGTTCGCTAAGAGGCTGCTTTGCTTCTCCTTTCTTTGACCAGGTATGCATCTCTGTGGAAAGGATGCCTGACGCTTTACACAGGACGAGGAGGCGAGCTGCATAAAATTGGGGAGTAAGTATTGTGTGTTCACACTTGTGGCATTACATCCTGCTCTCAGTGGAGCGTCATGGTAAGTATAAGGTGTGGTGACTCTTACACAGATGGAAGCTCAGGCAGCAAAAGTGTGTTGATGTGCCACGGGTAGGTACAGTACAGGCCACTGCGGTGTGAGTTTTTACATGCTGTTGTGGTAATGAGCTTCGACCCTCTCTGAATTCTGGTTATATTGAGGAGAATCGGCCTTTACCGTGGTACAAGTCTGGGTTTTACCTAGAGGGGGGGAATTGTGTAAATGACCAGAGACTTAATCTGCATCACTTGCCTGGGCCTCAGCTTGAATAACCACTTTATTTTGGTGGAAGTCTCGTGTGTATCATGCTTTGGAGACAAGCAGTGCAAAGAAGGAAGACAAAGGTAACTCCAGTGAATCATATCGAAACAGGAGCAAGCCTCATTAAACCTTCTTTCAACTGCCCACAAACTGAGGCGGAGACTCCTCCTGACTAAGAACAAACATGAGTAGCATACTTGGCAAGCAAGAGGAAAAAACACAAACATTTTCTAACCAGAAAAGTACTTTGCTGTTGCGCAAAGTGCCGTGGGAGGCCTTGTAGTCATCGGGGAAGTGGGGCTGTGGGGTGGCCAACCTCTCTTCTCAGATGGTTCAAAAATACCCAGTGCTCCACTGGATTTTGTGAGGGACGACCTGCAGATTTTCTTTGGTGGAGAGCCATCACCTCAGAAGTGTCACCCAGTGGGCTTGCTCTCCAGCAAACTGCGGGGAGGTGAGTCCTCGCCTGGGTTGTGCCTCCCAGGAGGAGGGCAGAGCCCTATTTCTGCTCAATGAGTCCAAGCTGCATAACAATCCAAATCTTTCTTCCCCTCCGCAATAGTTTCCGTGCAGTGAGTTCCTGGGCCTGTCTTTTTCCATAGTCCCTTTGGAAAAGGATGCTTTGGATTCCATTCCCTGTTTTTGACTGCTCTGTGCTGTTATTTTAATGGGGCACTCAGTAGCGTGGGAGTGCTGAAGTTTTCCCTAGAGATCTAATGCATTCCCAGTCTGGGAGCAGGCTGGATGGCTGTGCCTCAGGTGACCTTGTGAGTGGGTGCTGGACAAGATTGTGCAGCTGGAAGAGAGGTGACGGGAGCCCTTTCATCACCTCTTGTTTTCTTTAGGCTGTTTTACCTCCTAGAGTAAATGTGTGCTTGCCTCTGCTTGACTGAAACATCCTCACCAGGAAGATGTGACAGCTTCACCACAAGCCTATAAAGGGGTCAAAGAGCCTTTTAATACCTATGGATACTCTCTGAACAGTGGAGTCTGGATTAGTTACTTCTAGGTGATGGATATGTCAAGAACATATGTTTTTGAAGTTGTGGAGTTGAGAACTCTGTTTAAAAAATGGCGTTAGAGCTTTGTCATAATCCTAATTTCTCCCCAGGTTCTGCATGGTATACTCAGAAGTGCCAAACTTCAGTGAACCCAACTCGGAACACGTCGGGCAGAACAAACCGGTATGTTAAACTTGTCTGAGGCTTCTGGCATAAAGTGCTCTTTGTTCTGAATACTTCACACTAGGCTGTGATCAGATGTGACTCTCATGGAAAAATGGACTTTAAAAGTGGTGTATAAAAATGAGCCAATAAGTAGAGTGGCACATAAGTTCCATGTGGAGCCACTGTAAGAAACACAGGGAAAAATCAGCCCCTTTCTGTAAAAATGTGAAATTAATTTCCTTCTGTGATCTATGTCTCTTTTTTTATTTCTTCGAAGGCACAGGGTGAACAGAATAATAGTTCTGCATCAAGTAATACGGGTTCTTGTACTTTTGGGCCACTGGGTAAGTGGGTTTTTTTTTGTTTTGTGGAAGTGAAAGAATGAGAAACACTTAGTAGGAATAAAAGGAAATTTATCTTGCCAAGAGTTCTCCACTCTGGGACAAAGGTGTACTATGCTCTAAAAAGTCTTTTACTGGGGCCTGAGACTGCAAGCACATAAGCATGAACATTTCCTGAATAATGGTTTCAGAATTTCTTCCCTAGAAGAGATCAGAATATTCAAGGTGCCTGTATTGTGTAAAGAGACTTGACTAATCCAAGATTGTTTTGGTGCTTTCAAAGAGTTTTTGCAGCACTCGAAATTCTGTTGGTTTTTTTTAACCGCCTGAGACTTTGGCTTTAAAAATGACTGACTTTAATCTTGCCAGTCACTTTGGCTGTCCTGCCACGTTAGCTCCCTAAAACAGAAGTGTTAGTAATCTGAATTCCAATATTTGACCTGGCTGGATCATTCTGTGATGTATTTAAACACTGAGCTTAAATAAAGAAATGCTTCAAAGACTTGAGTGGGTGTAAGCTGAGAGGGAGCCTTAGTTATATGACCTGCCTACATGATGCTCAGACTCTGCCTGGCGTTGTATAGCTAAGCTCTGCTGGTCGGTGACAGCAAACCAATCCACCACTTGCTGTGAAAAAGCTCTCTGTCACTTCAGTTCAGAGACTGCCTGCTTCCTCTTTAGTAACGTGATTTTCATTTCTCTGATTTTACTTCTCTTATGAGCCCTTTCTGTTCCTTTGGAAATAAATGCTTCTGAGCAAAGAAGGGCAGTGCTTTGAGGCCAGCCTTTCCTCAGTGCCAGGGTGAGGCAAGTAGGCTTTTAGCTCAATTAATGAGTAGGTACTTCCTTGGTGGACAGCTTTGTTTTCACTGATGTTGTATCTTCTGAAACGTCTTTTTTTTCCTCTTCCTGCTTCTTGCGCGGTCTTTAAATGCAGTGATTTCCGTTTGTCTCTTCCTTCTCTCTCCATGCTTCCTGTCGTTGTTCTGCCTTTTCAGCTCTGTCCCTCTTCCTACCAGCAAAACATGAGCGCTGATGCTTATGAAGTTCAAGTTCATGAGAACTTGGTGCTAGCTGAGTTGCTTCTGTGGCTGGACCTCACAAGGCAGCTTTCTGTTTCCACGTGCCTGGTGGTGGGGAATGATGCAAGGAACTTTGCGTAGCTTGCTTTTCTTTTGCTTGTTTCTCCTTGACTTCTGCTGTCCTCCTGTCTCTCTGGAACATCTTGGGTTGTGACCTACAAGATAGTGTATGTTTCTGAAAGCACCAGTGGAGTTTGAGACTCCAGTGTCTCTCCTAGGCAAAGAATCGGCATGTAACTCTATGACTCTTCTTGCTTTAGTTGAGAGTGTGGGGTAGGGAAGGAGGGGAGGTGGTTTGGGAGGGGACAAAAAGGTAAGCTGTGGTTTGGGATCTTGCAGTGCCCAGAGGGGCTTTTTCTGTTCTGGTGCTCGGGGGTTTGCGGGTTGCTGCAAACTCCACATGTTCCCTGTTGCTAAACTTTATGTAAGGGAGCAGTGATTTCAGTCCATGGGACTCGTAATGACTTTTTTTCTGTCTTTTTAGGAAATGGTTTACATGCTGGACCTGAATCAAGTGGATTTCCATTTACATATAATCACGGCCACACTTATGCAGGTAGTGGGAGAGGCAATGGACGAGGACCTGTAAATCCAGCACCAGCTAATAGCGTTCAGCCTCATCTCCCTGCCGTCAGTAATGGGAGGGACCCACGCAGAGCCTTTAAGAGATGACTATGCCAAATGTGGTTGTACAGCTTGCTTAAACTCTACACTCTACTTGAACACTTATTGCACTTTTATTTATAGTTAACTGTGAACCAGTTTGTCCTTTGTTGGTGTTATTTTTTTACCTTTCGGTCTATGGAGCAAACTTGATGTGATCTGTTTCTTGTTTTGCTTAGGGAAGCACAGTGAGTCTTCCCCGTAAATTAAGGGTGTAGGTGGATACAAGAAAGTAAGGGTAATGGGTTAGAGTCAATTAAAACTCAGTACCCTTTGCTAAATGGAAGAAAATTTCAGTTACATGTATTATTTTTCTGTTTCTATTGGTCAGCCATATAGCCTTAAAAGGTCTGTTATGTCCTGTGCACGCATACGTTGACTTCTGTTAGGGTTAACGGAAGTTCTTCGTATTGGAAGAGAAGTGAAGGGGAAGAGCAAAGATGCTCTCGTGAACTAGGTGTCCTTGGAGCAAATCTAGCTTGTAAAAGCAATAAGTATAAGGAAATGGTGGCGTCTCCTGAATCAGAGCATGGATAACTCGGATGAAAGCTGAAGACATGATGCGTGTCTTGAAGCTTGACTTCTGATTCCAAAAAGGAATCAAAAAATTCCCCATAAACACCATTATCACTGTCAAGGAAAGTGACACTGATTTTTGCTTTGGATAGAAGCTTGGATATTCATTCTTGCTTTGCGTGAAATAGCAGGAGAGGAGGATCCGAATTCAGACAGTACTGGTGAATAGGCTGTTTGTAGCTGCTCCGTGCGTAAAAGCCCAAGGTTACTTTGCAGGAGTCTGAATTTCCAGGAAATAACTGTTTTCAGATGCTGCATTACCCATCTCTTCAATGAGGCTGCCCACTCCTCCTTTCTTCATTCACTTTTCCAAATGAATTATGTATTAGGTGAAGCTGTCTGTGGATTGCTGAGATACTGGCTGAGCACACAGCTGCACTTCTGATGCTGTTAAACTGCTAAGCTTTCCTTACTCTGTTTTGTAAGAAATACGAATTATCCCTTAAAGAACTTAACCCCACCATGACCATCTCCCAGGGGGAAACTTTCAGCTGTGGTTTTATTTGAGATCACAAATACCTTGACTCTAGGTAAGAGTCCAGTGCCATATTTCAGATCAGATTCAAAAACAGCTCGGAAGCTGAGGCATCATACTGGATTCATCTGTTTAACTCGTCTTATAGCTGACCTCTCAAATAAAAAATTGCACTAACCATTTCGAAAACAAATCTAACTTTCTTTCTGTCAAGCCATAAAGACTTCATGACAAAAGGCTGTTTCTGAATTGTGAGTTGTCTCTGTGGTCATTCACATTAACTAAGTCTACTACTGTGTCACTAATGTTTACAAGTTATTTGCATTTGATACTTCTGCTTTTGGTACTTGTATCATGATGGTTTGTTGAAAATTGCTTCTAATTGGCAACAGTTCCTTGCTTAGTCTGAAATACTGAACTTTCTTTTAAATGCAAGCAGTGGCAACAACCAACTTCTGAAGGGAGGTTCAGAGAGACCTGTGTGCCCAGATGCCTGAGGACTGTTTGCCTCTGGTCTGGTAAAGAGCTATCCTGGTACCTGCTTCCAGGTGGAACTAGATACAAGAGGGTGGCACACCTCGTGAGGTCACCCACGGATGCTGTTACGGAAGAACAGTGCTGACTGGTGAACCAGAAAGCACACAATGACTTCTGGGGAAATGGTGTAAGGAGGTGATGTGTAACTCAGGGACTTTAAATTGCTTACTTTTATTTAAATAAGTCATATATAGTCTAGATGCATGGACAACCTCTTGCGCAGTGTTGCATTAAGACATTTGATGTGCTTGTGAGAAAGAAGCCAAGAGGACTTCTAAACCTGTGAAGTATGTATGATGTTCTAGAGGTAACTGAGACGTAAGTACGGTGTAAGAGCTGTGCTTTCCAGTAGTAGCTGTAAAGGTAGGGAGCGGACAGTGCAAGTGATGCCATGGTGGGGACTTGATACTCACTGGAGTATCTCCACCATGGATCTCAAATCCTGGTGGTCTTGACTTCTCTACAGCATAAAGAAGGTTGAAACAGGGGAGCCCTGTGCTGGTGTGTGCTGAGGTGCCCAGTGTTTGTAGCTCTATGCATTTGAGCTTTTATAAAGCTAATAAACAGAATGCTTGTTCACAAATTCCAAATAAAAAGTGAGGTGATTACTGCTGATAAAGTGGTGTAAGATTAAAAGCTTGCTGTCAAGTGGATTATTGATTTGCAGCTGGGAGGAAAAAAAGCAAGAGGCTGGTCTTCGTGTTCTGAAGGTTAGTAGCGTTCCTGCCTCCCTCTTTCTTATGTGAAACTATTTCAGTTTATTAATAAATTTTTACTTCTTTGCAGGGGAAATCTGTGCCCTGAAAAGTCGCATGGACTTAAAGTAAATAGAGTAATTTTTCAAGGTCTTCTGATCTTCTGGCGAACCTAAGACAAAGTTGTTTCCCTCAGAGGTATCAGTGTCACAGTAGTGAGTTCTCGGCTTGCAGAGGAATCTGGGAGCCTGCCTTACAGCCGGTTTGGACCGTACCGCCTCGGTGTGCCCAGAGACGTGTTTCTCCACCTAAACAAGCAGTTGTAACGAATGACACTGACACTATAAGGCAGGTCGTAGGTGCCCAGTGGTTAGGTCATCAGGGGGCCTCTTTACAGATGGCTTCCTGAGATAATGAAGGTAAGGCTGCAGTTAAGGTCGTCTCATTTTAGATAATGCAGATTGCCAAAGGGAAAAAACACTGGGGAAGGTGTTCATGTGTCCAGACACAAGCTGCACGGTGCTGAAGTGCTGCTGAGTAGTCCCCATACACTTGAGTCCCAGCTCTTGTCGCCCCACAACAGCTCATCTCACGCCCAGCAGGAGGACTGATGCCGGACTGCAGCAATGCGGCAGTGCAGAATGTTTTGCTGTACGTCTGCTGCAGTCCTCTGTGTGTTCCTTCTGTCTGTCCTTGACAGGAATCTTTCACCTTGATCCCAAGAGTGGAAAAGCACTCCTGTACTGTGAAACACTGTCCTGACCTTGGATGCATAGCAGAGTCGTGAGCTCTGTGTCCATGGTGAAATGGGAAGGTGCTGTAAGAACAAGCATAAATGCTGGGTCGAGGCATCTGGTATAGCAACTGCTTTCACAACTCACGTAATTAACTTTGGCCTTAATTTGGAGCTGGCAGGTTGCAGTCCTGTGTGCCCCAGGAAGGCTGCTTTGCAGCATCACACGTGTTCCAGTAAGGGCGGCTGCAGATAGTGCTGCTTCTGCAAAGGTGCTGTGGGTGATATGGAACATCATGTTGGTGCAGTCCCTGTGTAAATGGCACCCATAGCAGCATTGCAGGGGTGTCAGCCGTGCACTGTCAGGGTGTGCATTTCTCTGGGCGCAGGAGCGCTTAGTAGTCAAATACTGCTCCCTGTAGCTCATTGAGGCCTTATGTTTTTCAGAGATATGAACACTTGCATTTGGCTAATGAGCTGGCTGTGCTATGGTCATCCTCTGCAGCTCATGTCTGTACCCCCACAACAAGATCCAGTCCTGTTCCGTAAGGTGGTTTTTATCAGCAGCTCTTGAAGTGCTTTGTTAGGACTAGGAATTGGTAAAAGCAATGGGATTTTTGAGTGTTCCTGTGGAAGTTTCCCAGGGTGTTTTGTGACCTGAGCCCTCTCAGCTGCCAGTTTGTTCCCATCCTTCTCAAATGGCCAGAGATTTGCCCTTTTAGACATACTATTTATTCTTAACCCACATGAGTATTTGCACAGCTGAGCACGGGCTCTGGCCATGCTTTGAGGGGGACCCGGGGAGGTGCCTCGTGTTCTGCCTGCAGCTGTCGAGCTGGTCGATTTGGGGAGTTTCCCCTTCGGGCAGCACCAGCGCAGGGTACTGATGAGGCTCTGTTAATGACCACAGCAGGGCTAACGGTTGGGATGTCTGCAGCAGTGGCCCCCTGTGCCCTGCAATGCCATGGGGCGAGCCTGGACCTCCCTACCAGAGCAGGAGCTCCGAGTGCCAGGCTTGGGGGGCTCTGAGGGGCTCTGCCCACCTCAGCAGCTTGGTTGGTGCTTCAGCCACTGCTGGTGATGCTTGAGGTCCCCAGCCCTTGCAGGGCTGGGTGCTTGCCTGGTGTAGCAGCCTCTTTGCTGGCATGCTTGGGCTCGCTTCTGTGTAACTGGGGAGATGGCTGAAGGGGGGAACCGTTCACAGGGATATGGCTTCAGTTAAAACAACAAAAGCCCTTGTGTTGCCACTGGAAGACACATACCAAACCAGGGGCAATCGTCTAAAAACTGAGATATTGAGTTCTTCAGCAAATGTCACCAGGAATTCATTCAGAAATGCGCTTTCTGACTCCAGCCTTAATCATGCTACTACTTACTTTATTCTTGATTCCAGAGAATTTGACTGTTATGGCTCTTTATAAGGATTATGCTTTTTAATCTATTCTGTGATGGACATTTGTGCGTGTATGTGTGTATATATATGTAATATGTATGAACATACACAGCATCTTGTAATTGGGATTGAAAAAATTAATCCTAAAGTTGACTAAACTACAGAGGAGAGAGTTCAAAGGGATTAGAAAAAAAGTTTGGAAGTGACTAACGGGAACTCTTAAGGACTTTGTTTAGCTTTTCAGTTTCCCTAAATTGTTGATGTTTTCTCTCAAGAAGAAAGCAATGCAGTTATAAAAACTTCATCTAAAACTGCCCTCACAGTCCCCCAGCTGGTAAAGACTGTCTGGATTTGTATGTTTCCTAGGGAACAAGATTAAGGAAGGAGTAAAACGTAAGGATTTAGCTCAGAAAGAAAATTCTTGTTCTGTAAATGTACTTTCAGAGCTAAATGCTTTCTTGCTATACAAGTTTAAATGGGTTGGTGTCTGCTCTGCAGAGCGGAGAACCCCAAGTGGTGCAGTCACTGTAGGACTGACTAGCTGCTACGTGTTAGCTAAATTGGCACATAAAAGACAAAATTGGCTTACTATGTCATTAACTGAGACTCCACAGGAGTGTAATTGTATGTTGTAGTGTATCAGCAGAGCCCTCTACCAGGCTTCCTTTGGGTTCACGGCCAGAGGGTGAAAGGGTCCTGCAAAGTACTGGGCGGCTCAGAAATTTGAGACTATGCTTGCCCACCTCTGCTGCATGCCCCATGGGGATGGCCAGGAGATCCCGCTGACTTCACGCATGACTCAGTTCGGGTGCTATGCAGGCAGTGGGTTCTTGTCTTTAAAACCAGAAGAAGGCGGGAGGGTGGATCTATCAGATGCTGAATTTGTAATTTAGGAAGACACTGAATGCTGTGGAAAAGCTGAAAGCCACAGCTAATGCGTAGATTTTTCTTTCTAAATCAAGAGACATTTAAGAATATACATTCCTAAGCTCAGATTCTTTATAGTTAGCTC